TCTGAAATAGCCCCCGAAACCCACCGACCCCGGATGTGTCGGTGATCAGGCGCAAGTCCTCAGAGGTAACGGTGGTATTATTGTAGAATACGGAAACACCTTTCCAATTTGACAGGAAATAGATCCACATCCTGATGTCTCTTCTACATTCTGTGTTCAAACGCACGTGGTTGTGTAAACGCTTAACAATGGTCGACAAAGTAATCAGATGAGACACAAACGAACGTTCTGGTATAGCTGTAGGACTTCTCTTTTAGTACACGAATGGTGCTGTTGGAATTGTCATGAAAAAGTGATGATTCTGTTAAGTTTGTCTTCGGGTAGGCGAGCTTCCATCTTGTCCGATTCAAGTATTATACCAAAGTATTCTATAACGGTACTTGGTTCGCAAGTTTTGTGTCATAATGATAATTAGTCTGTTGAAAATCAGGTACAACAAGGCCATATTCCTTTAAGCACAGAGACTCGCCACTTTTGTCTTTCTTCACCATCACCAAAGTACAGCTTTTTATTTTAAGACACTGACCATGTATTCTCTATGTTCACATATACGACGTGATAAACCTCTCCTTTTTATTGGCTAATTAAAGATCCTTCTACTTCTAATCGATTGACTAAAATACTTGGTTTCCATACATATGAACAAGATATTTATATACAGATATATGGTATGTTTGTGCGGTAGATTGATAATTTGTCAGCATAAACCTGGTTTATATACATAACCTTTAAACTGATGTGATTGTTTCGATGTCAATAAAACTTCGACAATATTACAATGATTCCTATTGTTCATTTAAATGTGTATTATTGTCAACAAACTACTGTAATAAGTGATTATCTAACCTGTCGATAAGTACATCGTGTGGGTCTGATAAGTTATAAAAATCGAGTAATTGCTCGATTTTTCATTACTTTTTCAAATTAATATTTTGTCAAAAAAAAAAAAAAAAACTCGTCGTGTGTGTTTGGTAGCCAGTTCAACCTCTGAAAACGAAAAGAAAATAGCCATTTTCACGGAGTAAGCCCTTTATGGTATTACACAGATAGTTTAGATAAAATATACAGGACATACACCATGTTAATCTGACCTGCCTGATTATAAAGAAAGTGAATTTAAATCACAGCTTGTCCTATTACTCCGTACATGTTTCAAGCTACAACTTTTCCCGTTTTCCTAATTCTATCTAACATAATTCCATATCTGTATGCACGCTGATAGAATCACCATTTCGTTTACATCGTGGCAAAGTCTGTTTCGTGTACAAAAGTATATATATTTATGTTCTTGGACTACTTGATGTAGAGAAGTACTGCACATCCATATAAAACAGGTTTTACATTAGTTCTCATCCTTACTTGCCTGATGTTGAAAAAAACCGTTAACCTCATGCAGTAAAGCTATTGGAACAGTTTCAAAATTGTATTATCACACTCGGTTAGGACGAGCCAGGCCGGTCACTGTGTGGAATATGGACTCTCAATTCAATGGACTGTTAAATAACTAGCCGAAACTGACAATCTGTCAATCTCCATCAGCAAACACGTGTTCAATGCTGACAGATATAACTAGAGCTCCGACTAGGACCCTTCTTCAGATGGGAGAACCTATCCCGGCCGGAATTATCGTCGAATGTGATACCTAGATCCTACTTCCTTGTATCTTCCGGTCGGACCTTAGTACCCAGGTCTCACTATGCCGTTCCTTTCGAACAGTCAACACTTATGTTATGATCATAACATTTCGTAATTAGCTGTAGAAAACGCAGTCAAGTTTACCGATATGAAATGCTCTCATGCTACTGTCAAAAAGACGACACCAGTTTACTTGTAATCAAAATCTTTGAATTCATAACTATTATATTTCACATGATTAATTAGATATAATGTCGAGCTGATGTAAAACTAAACATACGGAATATAAGTTGGTCTTCCTCGAACGGGCTGAAGAATTTCCCTTTTTTTCACTCAAGAGTAAAAAGTTGGCGAATTGATATAGGATAATTTTCTACTGTCATTTATTGAAAAGAGTAACAGATATTTGTTGTTAAACTACATACTTTATACACTGCCAATGACATATGACATTACAAAGATGAAACTTTGGAATTGCTGTTCCCCCGATGTCACTGGATGTGCCCCCCGCCAAGATTCAACCACCTATCCATCACGGTGGCCGACAGTTGGTGTTGTGAGGAATGGACCCTACACCACTGATTGAAACAGACGGGCAAATTAATTTACTTCCGTTCCTATAATTGGTCGGATCCTTTCGCCAAGAATGTAAGAAATTGGTCATTTCTTTCTGTCACTATAGAAACCCCACATACATTTATTACATGTCAGTTTCTGAGCGGTCGTTAACGTTTCACTGCCCCACCACACCAAACAAAGAAAGTATCGAATATCTAGAGCCAAAATGAAAGACGAGGACACGTATCCATACCTTGTTGTTTTCGTACACTTACTAAAAATCAACGATACATATCCACATGTTATATGGTTACCTTATAAAATTGAATATCAAGAGAATCACTTACCTAGAAGATCTCATATTAAACTTGATATGTTCGTTATGTTGTACAGATGTAATAATGAGTCTAAACAAAATAGCCTTGTGCTAAAAAGATTTTTTTTATTTACACCAAAACCAAAAATCATCAAAAGCAAAGATTTTCTGAAATGTACACCTCCATTTTCCAAATAACCTAATAATGTAATTCTATAAAAGAACTAGACCAATGTCGAGGAAGGGCCATCTTTTATGATTGGGCTTAATATAAGAAATATATGGCCAACTTGTGCATCAAAATCCAATGAAAATGGACACTGTTTATATTGATACAATAAAATATGTTTAAATCAAACAATTTTGGAGTATTCAAATATGACATTAATACTGCAATGTATGTGTTTGTACAGTATATGAAATGAGAAGCAAATAGGATATATTAAACTGTGAATTACGTTGCATGATGTAAAAAAATCAGATAAAATAAAAACATAGCATAACAGCAAGTGCACCTCCTTGTGAAAAAATAATCAATGACGCTGCACATTTCGTGAAATAACCCAGTTTGCACTGAGCTGAATCACTATAACTTTAATGTCTATCTTGTTAGTCAAATGTCCAAAATCTACTGATTATTATCTCTATTCATCACAAATAATTTTTCAAAAATGAATCTATATTAATAAAAGGCTTGTGTTTTTCCTTGGAATCCGCCGACTATATACAGATATGAGTAAACAGTAACTACATACCTTAAGACAAATCTAAGCAAGACGATAAGTATTAATATATACACAAGAATGTCGCATCATAAGTATTAATATATATACAAGGATGTTGCATCATAAGTATTAATATATATACAAGGATGTTGCATCATAAGTATTAATATATATACAAGAATGTTGCATCATGTAAGACCAAAGAAAGACAACTCCTAATGCATGCTAAACACTGACGACTGTCTTTGGTCTAACAGCCCAACATCATTCCGATTGATGTCTTCTGTCATTTCACATACAGTTGAATTAATTATCAATATACTAAGGATGGGAAAAAATTAATATTTACTTTTCCACACCTTTGTGTTGATTATTTTGACAATACAATCAGTATAAGCACAGGAAGTGACTACAATTTACCATCCTGACTGACAGTCTAGCTATGTACAGAGTTATTAATGATAGCATATATTACAACAATAAATGGTATAAAATAAGAATGGCTACACAACAATTTATATCAGTGTACACGGGTATAATCATTAGCTAAAGATATATCAATCGTCAGCTTAACCTATGAAGTTGTAACAGTACATGTACATACAATACAAAATGATGAAGTTTACCTATATGCTGGATACTTAATCTCACATTATGAATATTATAACATTATAAACACAATATGGATATACAATACAAGTGCATGGGTATATAAGGAAACAGTTCATTACCTGTACATGTAAGATACATAAGAAATCTGTAACATGTATCAATGATAAATCCTGTACTTCAAGGCATGATTATATATAATTTGATAAGTTCTTGGTATCCTTTTTAAAACAGGAAAAAAAATATAAAAATTAAAAAATAAAAATGTGAACCATCTGACGCCTTCAATCACAGTATGGCAGAAGGACCTAATGTCATTCTACAAGAATTAACCACATAATTTTCATAGAAAAGAAATCTTGTGAATATCAAGTTATACCTGTACCATAACATGTTACTTCAACGTAATATATGTCCTTCTTAATTCCTGTTATCTATACAGGCAAATTCTCAAACGTTCGATATAAATAAAGTCATTTATTTGAGGCTGCTTCAGAGCAGTTCACTCTACTAGCCAGTTATAAGTACCATGCTTGGATATCATGAAGCTTAAAAGATTCTTCAATGTGTTAAACACCATTGATCTTTGTGATCTTAATAGGTAAAGGTCATATAAATGAGGAAACTTCATAGCACTCCATTCCAAATACATTGTACATTTGTACCTGCAAGTACTGACTAAATACCAGTACCATACATCTTTTGAAACATGTAATACACTTCAATATATTTGACCTTGAAAGAAGATCAAAATTTTTTAAACAATGAAAAACATATCGGTCTTTACAATGTCATGGGCAAAACGCTAGTAATACTGCAGTTCTAACATTTTTTTGAAGAAGTTGTTAAAAGTAGAAAGTTGACAGATGGATGGAGTATGGGTCATTTATAACATGCATGTATATCATTAATTCGCAGACACATAGTATGTGACCTAAAAACGAAATGTTCTATCAAGTGCTATATACATGAATCTCATTGTTGATCACAACAGTTTAGCTTACCTCTGTGACCTCAAATCAATACATAAGCAAGGTATTAAGAATTGTTCCTGTTTTATGCTATATTTATATCATCAGTAAGGTTTGTTTGTACTTATAGGTGCTATACTGCTAGCCTTAGATAGGGGTTGAAGTGAGTTTTTATTATGTACATCAGATGTCAATGATAATTTTGGGATTGTACAATGCTACATAGTGTATGCATATTAGGAAAAAAATGGACAAAATTTGCTATCACACATCTGCATGGTTCTATAAGTGAATAAGTGTGGGAAAGGGTTGATTTATTTTCTAAATATATAAGAGTACAGCTAAGTATATTGTCTAAATGAGGCATATATGTATAGGTCAGACAAAGGTCAATCTGTCAGGTACAGACTGAACAGATATATACACTCCTTATTAAGAGTGCTATGTTCACAGAGAGACACATATGACAAATTTAATGTACAGTCACTCATCATATAGATATAAGTAAACATCAAAAAGACATCTCTTGTCGTCTCCGCTAAGAAATGATTTTATTTACATTAGTTCTATAGTGCTCTCATTTTCACAATAGTTACCTGGTATGTAAAGAGACACTATAAACTGTTTAGGTCTTGTGTTTGTTATACTGTGGACCTAAGTGGTACAGATCTGTATATACCCATATACAGGTAATTATTCTTGCTCAGGGCATACCATTCGTCCCTCTCTGAGGTGTGAAATATTTGGAAACTAGTTAACAGTCTGGCTGTATTTCGCTAAATGTCAAATTAAAAATGACCTCTATATTCACTTTATATTTCATTTCTTCTACATTATCTTTCTATCAAACGAGTTCACCAATAATAACTCAGTTATCAAATCAGTCTGTAAAAACAGATTGTAGTCAATAAATCACAAGCTAGAAAGACATCCATGACCACAATACTTCTGAGTAAAGATCAGTACACTAAAACTCTTTGGACATATAAATAAGGTATAACACAGTACTGGTCATTTGTCTGATAAGGGTGAGTAGCCCAAAATGTTGAGCATATGTTTCAAACTTGTTTTAGATCATTTCATGTTGTTTCTTCTGTTTACTCTGTAAATCTCATTGCCAGCAAAATACTGCTTAAATACAATCATTTTAGCTTCAGACATGAGAGCTATGGCCTTTAACGGTCATCTGACAATCAACAGACGGATGGACTTACCAAAAAATGAACTATGTTGGATTTTAACCAAACCAAAAATTAAGATTTGGTCAAGACAATCTAGGAATTGTTTCATATACATTTGATACCACTGCAACTTCCTAATCATGTTTAAGACAAAATTTGAATGAAATCCATTTAAGCATTAAGGAAGCTTAGCATTTTGAAGCAAAGTAAATTATATTTCCTTTTGTGGCCCCTTTCCCACCTAACTTGCGGGTCAAATCAACTTTTTGAATGTACAAAATGACTGTCTAACCCCAATGAAGTTTGAATAAAGTCCAACCAAGCATTAAGAAGTAGCATTTAGAGCAAAATGCTGTCTAACTTCCCCTTTTGGGGCCCAGCACCTAAGTCTCTTTGGGTAAAAACAACTTTCTGAATTCATGAATTAAATCCCTACCCTTAATCATGTTTAAGACAAATCTCTGAACAAAATTTGTTCAAGCATGAAGGAAGAGTAATGTTTTGAAGCAAAATATTTCCTCTTTTGGGGACCCAAACCAAGGTCCCTTGGGATTGAATCAACTTTCTGAATATAACAAGAGGCCCATGGGTCTTACCCGTCATCTGACATAAAATACAAGATTTCAAATTTTGAACTTATTTCACCTGGATTTAAGAATCAAGGGCACTCAGCCACCACCTTGAAAGTGGGTTAAGGTTATTCATTTCAACAAACTCCATAAACATTTATCCAAGCATGCTATTGGCCAAATATCATCACCCTGGGTGTTCTGGTTATTCAGAGGATGTTTCTTCCAGGTTTTATACAAAGTTTACCCTTGTGACCTTGAAAAGGGATCAAGGTCATTTGTTTCAACAAAGAGGATTTTCAATGTATTTTCAAAATGGCGGTCATGTTGGATTTTGGACTGATCCGAAATTAACAAACTTTGGTCAGTGCCATGTCATGATCATTTCATGCAAGTTTGGGCTCAATCGCACTGGTGGAACTTGAGAAGAAGTTGAAAATGTGTTTTCAATGTATTTCAAAATGGCGGCCATGGCGGCCATCTTGGATTTCGGTCCAACCCGAAATTAACAAACTTTGGTCAGTGCCATGTCATGATCATTTCATGCAAGTTTGGGCTCAATCACACTGGTGGAACTTGAGAAGAAGTCGAAAATGTGTTTTCAAGATGGCGGCCACCCTATGGCTTGATCAACTTTTTTTTATCACAGAAATAACTGCCTAACCCTAATGATGTTTCAGACAAAATCTGAATTAAATCCATTGAAGCAAAAAGGAAGAGTAGCGTTATGAAGCAAAATATTGTTTTACTTCCCCATTTGGGGCCCCTTCCCCCTGCCCCTAGTCCCCAGTGGTGAAATCAACCTTCTGAATTTAAGAAATAATTCTCCAACCCTAATGTTTTTCAGACCAAATTTGGTTGAAATTCATGCTGGCATTATGAAGGACTAGTGTTTTACAGCAAAAGTTTACGGACAGCAGATAGCACACAGCGGACCCTTCAGGTCAGATGACCTAATTTGATAATTTAAGACAAGTAGGTTTTCACAGAACCCCTTATAATCTGTCGGCATATTGGACACTTGACCATTGCTGGAGCACATTCAGCACAACAACAAAGATGTCCACATGGCAGGAAAGATATACAGACAATGTTGTCCATACATATTTTACATTTCATCTGTTCTCTCAGCTGGTTGTTTTCCTCTTGGATGGATTTCAGTTCTGTGAATATAACACAATTGTAAACTAAATAACAGTTGAAAAACACAATCAAAACAAACTTATTCTGAGCAGTGTCAACAACTATAATCTCTCAGACAAAACATTCAATAAGGATCTTGGTGTTCATCATCATGATTTCCTTTCTTCGTTAAATGTAATTAATGCTGACCTTTTCTTTTGCTCGGACAGTCATGAAAAGAGCACTTTGTTTAATCTTTGTTTTCTCATAATTTACTCCTCAAATATGACATTTTTATCTAAAAAATATTCCCAAAGTTCTTGAAGATGGAGAGAAAAATGACATTACTTGTTTCAATATGACCATAAACTTAATCTGAAGTGAATAGAGCAAGCCATGGAGACTCTTTAAAAAAAGAAGTGTTTGTCCCAAAACTACACCAAAAATATGGTAACTTCAGCAGATATCCATATTACAATGTATTTATATTCAAGCTCTTATTGTACGTTCTAAGAAACTCAGCTGAACACAAAATATTTTACCCCATCTTCTCAGCACCTCTAATGACTTCGAAATCTCGGGAATATTTGGTTGAGGTATCCATTATGTAAACTATAATCAAATTTTGTTTAAGATGGAAAGACATTTTTTGAGTGATGGATCTACAGGCAGAATTTTAATTGAAATGTTGATGATGATGCTGTCGCAAAAGGAATACTATAGAGTCTCACTCATCACACATGACACCAAAAGTTTTAAAAAAGTCAGCAGCTCACACACTGACCTCTGAATATAAACTATAATAAACCTTCATTCAGTCCAAAAAAAAAATCCCATTCAAATTATATGAAATCAAGTAAGTGAAAATAAATCTGAGTTGAAATAATCAGAGTCAGCATCGCTGAGAATCAGAAAGTGTTTAAAAAATTGCTTATACTGTAGAAATCTACTGATTGGTAAAGACAAAGGCCTGTTCTGAATATTGGCAAATGTTTTGATAACAGTAAGATTTTCTTTTGAAAAACTAACGTGTTAATCAATTGGTTAAAAAATTACAGGTTTCATTTCATTCTTCATCATGTTGGATATCGCCACAAAGAAACCATATAAGCCGAAAAAATGTTTGTTTGCCTGTAAATTGGTGGAAGTTACCTTCGAAATACTAGAGTGAAGAACGTAGAAGAGACATTGGCTACAGATTTATGTTCATTCAGATTGCTTATTGGTGTTTACAAGCTTATCTATGAATCTTACAATTATGATAATGTAATAAATAGGGCATGACCATCTTATGAAAATGTGAAGTATGACATCATTGCTCTTTGATAATACACAATGTTCTATGCTCTGTATTCCAATCACTTGTTATAAAAAGGTTTGGCCAGACATTGCCAGCCAAAGACATGAAGAAATCACACTGAATCATTGCTAATTAAGTGACTTGTATGTGTATACCTGGCAGCATCTGTTGCTTACCATCGTCATTTACAACTATAGCTACCTGCACAATTTACTTTTGATGTGAATAGTGACAAAATAAAGTAATAATTGTGACGCCAATATCCCTTTCAATAGTTTGGCCCAGGTATGATCAATTAGAAATAATTTGAATTGTAGTGAATCAAGACTAGAGAGGATTTGAAATATCAAAGAACAGAAAATAATTCCTTTTATAGAAAAAATTAAATTTTCAAACTACCCACCTATTAAAAATGACCAGAGATTCATCTTAAATCTGTGAAGGGGTTCATGAGATATTTTGTACACGTGACCTTTGACTTTTAATCTTGACTGATGACCAATCAAATCTATGCTATGATATGAAAATGAACTATACTGTTTCGGGGTTTATGAGATATCTTTAACAAGACTTTAAATTCAGATGAAGTCGGGTTGACTTGAGTTTGACCTTAATCTCAAACCACTGACAACTCAAATTTTGTTAGGTGTTGCACTTGAAGACGTCCTTGGGTGCGAATATGTTTAAAATATATTGAAGGCTAGAAAATTATCTTTCAATCCACCTAGTCTCAATTTTATACCCACAATTAGAAACAACAGGGCACAAATATGTTGATTAACAGTGATCAACTGTGGTATTTTCCATAGTAAATCAAGGATAGAAGAATTTTGATAAACTTACCTTCTTCAGAGTATGAACGTGATGAATCTCCATCTGAAACAAAAACAAGGTAAAAACTAACAGAACTGAAATGAATTTGTTTAATATGTATCTGCTGTAATTCTACCAGACTGAAAGGTTTTTCACAGAAATATTTGAGAAAAGTTAACAGAAAATATTGCTACCTTTTAGAACCAATGAAACAACATTAAATTTGAAGAGTATATTTTTGACATAGAAGGATCCATACACTTTCGATGATAAGTCCTATACTGAGACAAAGGTTTTTAGTGATAAGTTCTTAAACTATAGAATGGGACCTTATTAATACTGGGTAAACATCATTCACTTGTTTTGAAGAAATAAAGAATATTCCCAGTCTTTTAGAGATCACTTGTTTTAACAAACTTAACAGCCCTTCATCTCAGCATGCTACAGCCTTAATATCAGTACCCTTTGCATTGCCATTATTGAAACGAATTCATTTGAATGGAAAGTTTACATATGGTGCATGATGAAACAATGGCTACACAGTCTGTTGGTTCTAAAAATACACAATTAGGAACAACTGCAAGAGGAACCTACATAGGAAACTTGAGAATGATCTGCCAGCACTAACAAAATAATGACAACAGATTATCACTGTCAAAATCCAAGATGGCCTGTGTAGGCCATTTGGTTTGTCTGATCAGTCCCAAAATTGACAATGCACAACTAGGACGAAGGGAAGCTTACAAATGAAATTTGAAGATGACTCACCCAGTCCTTTTTAAGACAGAGAGATTACAAGAATTGTTTATAGATGGACTGATGACAAAGAGCAATATGATGAGCCCATTGAACCATCTCAGTATAGTGGGCTAAAATCAAAAACATGTCAGGTATTCATCAAAGTGATCATGTTTCATCATCCAGGGTTGAGAGATTTATTCTAGACAATCCTCAATTAACATAATGTACATACTCAAACCTGATTTGCGTGTACTACTCCTTTATTGTGGAGTATCATAGTATTTATCCAAAATATCAGCAAACCTTGATTTCTTCGAGGTGGTCGTGGATCAAATGGTCGAGGCACTGCCTGAGATTCAGATGTCCTAATGTCGGAGGAAGGAGTCACACTTCCTGGTGGAAATGTGTCCTTTGTCACTGTTTGAGGAGCTGGGTTATCATGTGGCCCAGCTTGTGTCTGATCAGGTCGTTGTGGAGGTAAATCTTCCTCACCAAGACTAAATATTATCTCCAACAGCTGATTTGCTGACAACTGAACACGACCTAAAAGAAAACATTTTTAATTGTGAAAATTTCTGCCAATATCCTTATTCTTCTTTTGTCTTGGGATTGCTTCAAAGTAAATCTGACCTAAAACTAACACTATTACCTGTATCCCGATGTAAATCTGACCTAAAACTAACACTGGTACCTGTATCCTGACATAAATCTGACCTAAAACTAACATGATTACCTGTATCCTGACATAAATCTGACCTAAAACTAACACTGGTACCTGTATCCTGACGTAAATCTGACCTAAACCTAACACTGGTACCTGTATCCCGACGTAACTCTGACCTAAACCTAACACTATTACCTGTATCCTGACGTAAATCTGACCTAAAACTAACATGATTACCTGTATCCTGACACTACCTGTACCCGATCCCGACGTAACTCTGACCTAAAACTAACACTGGTACCTGTATCCCGACGTAACTCTGACCTAAAACTAACACTGGTACCTGTATCCTGACATAAATCTGACCTGAAACTAACACTACTACCTGTATCCCGACGTAACTCTGACCTAAAACTAACACTGGTACCTGTATCCCGACGTAACTCTGACCTAAAACTAACACTACTACCTGTATCCTGACGTAACTCTGACCTAAAACTAACACTGGTACCTGTATCCCGATGTAACTCTGACCTAAAACTAACATTGGTACCTGTATCCCGACGTAACTCTGACCTAAAACTAACACTGGTACCTTATCCTGTATCCTGACCTAAAACTAACATCCTGTATCCCGATGTAACTACCTAAAACTAACATTGGTACCTGTATCCCGACGTAACTCTGACCTAAAACTAACACTGGTACCTGTATCCCGATGTAACTCTGACCTAAAACTAACATTGGTACCTGTATCCCGACGTAACTCTGACCTAAAACTAACATTGGTACCTGTATCCCGACGTAACTCTGACCTAAAACTAACACTGGTACCTGTATCCCGACGTAACTCTGACCTAAAACTAACACTGGTACCTGTATCCCGACGTAACTCTGACCTAAAACTAACATTGGTACCTGTATCCCGACGTAACTCTGACCTAAAACTAACACTGGTACCTGTATCCCGACGTAACTCTGACCTAAAACTAACATTGGTACCTGTATCCCGACGTAAATCTGACCTAAAACTAACACTGGTACCTGTATCCTGACAAAAATCTGACCTCAAAATAACATGATTACCTGCATCTTGATGTAAATCTGATCTAAAACTAACACTACTACCTGTATTCTAACATAAATCTGACCTGAAACTAAGACTACTACCTGTATCCTGACATAAATCTGACCCAAAACTAACACCGGTGCCTGTATCCTGACGTAAATCTGACCTAAAACTAAAACTACTACCTGTATCCCAACGCAAATCTGACCTGAAAATAAACGATTACCTGTATCCTGACATAAATCTGACCTGAAACTAAGACTACTACCTGTATCTTGACGTAAATCTGACCTCAAAATAACACGACTACCTGTATCTTGATGTAAATCTACATTGGTGCCTGTATCCTTAAGTAAATATGACCTAAACATCACACTATCACATGAATCCTGACGTAAATCTGACCTAAAACTTACATTTGCTCTTGTATTCTAATGAAAATCTGACCTAAAAGTAAGACTGGTACCTGTATCCTAATATAAATCTGTCATAAAACTTAACATTGGTGCCTGTATTCTAAGGTAAATAAAACATAACAAAAAAACTGGTACCTGCATTCTCAAGTAAATTGACGTAAAGCTGATTTATTCTGCACGTTTCATTCATTCTGAATTTGACATAATGCACTAAGATGATTCAAATAACACTGGTATACCTGTAGCCTATGTTTAACACAAGGCTAAGTGTATAATTATGTTGTACCTTGTTCACGGCGGAGTTGTTGAATTGCCGTTTTAATGATGTTGTTGCTGTAGCCCATTTCCTTGATACACTGTATAGCTGGTGCATTCATTTCTTCATCAGCAACTGAATTTCAGGAGAGTTACAAATGATTAAATTGACATCACTTTTCACAGTGTTGCCACATCAATATCTACCCACACAGTATAACAGCTGCCACCATTGATAAATTTTTATGCTATTTCACAGGCAATATGCTTAATCATAAAGTGTGGTATCAAAGCAATGTCAGGCGGCTGTTTTATTATTTCTGAAAATTAACTTGCTTCTGATGGATCAATCATGCAAAAACATGTCTGACAAAAATTTTGAGGGTACTTCTGAGTGTGTGAATCTCCCTCCAACGGTTTATATACAGTCCATGTAAAACTTATTCTTAGAAATAGTGAAAAGAGTATGAGAAACTGCTAATGTGGGAATGGACTTGTCAGTGCTGAACTCGACAAAACACCCTAGACATGAAAATTATTTCAGATTTTCTAAACCAAATTGTTGATTCACACTTGACTGATCCTAAGCCATAGTGTACCATAATGATTATGTTTAAGACAGTAAAGCACAATTTCTTGTCAACAAATGATTATGTCTGTGGCAGTAAAGCACAATTTCTTGTCAACAAATGATTATGTCTGCAACAGTAAAGCACAATTTCTTGTCGACATCTAAGTCATCTAAAGGTGTTGTTTCTCACCTGTCAACCATTTACTAAAACTTCCTGATTCTGTCCATCTAAATATGAATAAGATGTAGAAAAGATGTTATAATATCTTTACTAAGGAGTAAATATGAACCAAAGTTATGGGGTTCTCAATATATGAAATGAATTCTGAACAGGATATGACATGACAGGTTGGGATGTAATGACAGCCAAAGGTAAGAGCTTATACCCCTTATCCTCCCCCCTCCCCCCCCCCCCCCCCCCCCTTATCAAAGCCCATATATATATATATATATATATATATATATATATATATATATACACCTGTAGGATACATGAGGGTGTCCTGGTGTGTATATAGTATATATCTTCATTGTGTTTCAGTGTGTATAAATATTTTATATACCTGTAGGTTGTGTTTCAGTGTGTCCCTGTGTATAAATATTTTATATACCTGTAGGTTGTGTTTCAGTGTGTCCCTGTGTATAAAAATTAATATACCTGTAGGTTGTGTTTCAGTGTGTCCCTGTGTATAAATATTTTATATACCTGTAGGTTGTGTTTCAGTGTGTCACTGTGTATAAATATTTTATATACCTGTAGGTTGTGTTTCAGTGTGTCCCTGTGTATAAATATTTTATATACCTGTAGGTTGTGTTTCAGTGTGTCCCTGTGTATAAATATTTTATATACCTGTAGGTTGTGTTTCAGTTTGTCCCTGTCCATATACTGTACAAATACCTGTAGGTTGTATTACAGTGTGTCCCTGTGTATATACAGAACAAATTCCTGTGGGACGTTTTGTGCCCTGTGTATATGGTATATATACCTGCAGGTTGTGGTTCAGTTTGCTGTTGTGACACGCTAGAACCTGTCTGTTGAGATGAGGCACTTGCTGCTGAGGTGCTGGAACCAGAAACTGGTGTATCTCTTGTGTTTGTCTGAGTGTCAACTATCCTGGCTGTCTGGGTGGTGGCAGTCGATGATGTACTTGAGGTTGCTGTTGTGTTTATGTATTCGTTGGGCAGTATCTAAATGAGAATTATTTTAATTAATCATCAAAAAGGAAGGTAATAATTGTAAAGCTTAATTTTTATAACAGGAAATGTTTACAAAATACTTACCAACTGATGGTCTGTGCCAATATGAAGAACAAATAAGACAAAATAAAAGTATACACAAATTCAGAAAACAGGACAAAATATCACGAAAAAAACTAATTATTTTAAACGTTCTCTGACAATATTCTATTGTGTCCAGTGACTGCTAAGAAGCCTATATGTGAAAAGTACAGATCTGAAACCGTATTTTCTCAACTAGAAATATGCACATGTCTTTTTGCCTGCAGATGCCTGTAACTGCTCGTCTGTAGGGGTTGCTTCCCCTTAACCACTATCTAATGTTGAAGTAACACACTGATTTTTGCAGTTCGCATACCATTGTCATATCGTTCAAATATAAAGATGAATGGTATGCAATCCAACAGGACACCAATTGAAATATTTAATTCCATCATCATACACATATATTAAGAGCTGCATTAAAGAATTAAAGGTAATGTACTGCGGTAAACTTACCAGCTCCCTGTGCCTTTGAAGTACCATGTTAATGAAGGTTTGACCTTTGTTTTGTTTTACATAAGCACATCGTGGAAACCAGCGGGCATGCTCTACCCAGGGGTCATCACCAGGTTCCCAATTTCTAAGGCCACCCCCACAAAAGAAGCACCTTACATAATCTCCATAACCTACAGATAAAACAGATTGTTATGGAGGTTATTGTTAAACAGATTGTTATGGAGGTTATTGTTAAACAGATTGTTATGGAGGTTATTGTTAAACAGATTGTTATGGAGGTTATTGTTAAACAGATTGTTATGGAGGTTATTGTTAAACAGATTGTTATGGAGGTTATTGTTAAACAGATTGTTATGGAGGTTATTGTTAAACAGATTGTTATGGAGGTTATTGTTAAACAGATTGTTATGGAGGTTATTGTTAAACAGATTGTTATGGAGGTTATTGTTAAACAGATTGTTATGGAGGTTATTGTTCAACAGATTGTTATGGAGGTTATTGTTCAACAGATTGTTATGGAGGTTATTGTTAAACAGATTGTTAATCACATCAAACTAGCATCACTTCTGATATTAATGAAATGTGTTTTTCGATTATTACAATATATGCCTGACCTCTGAATCAATAATTAATATGATATTCATGGTTAAATGAGAGTTCCATCTACCATGGATAAAGTCAGCATATGACACTGCAACACTGGATTGTACAGTTTATTTGTGCAGGGTTTACTTCCCTTGCCACCCTATGCATCACACAATAATTAAAAAGTGATATATCCATTAATGCAAATAAAGACCCATATTTGGTCACAATTAGGTTTAAAAGCAAACTCTTACATGGGATGATGTTAACAACTACCAATACATTGACAGCAGTTCCATCACAAACAATGCCCAAGTCCTGTCACAAACAATGCCCAAGTCCTGTCACAAACAATGCCCAAGTCCTGTTTTCATTCCAAATGTGATAGTTACCATATTTTATTATCAGAATGTTGATATATTAACTAATAGAAAAACTATATGCTCACAAAATAAAACAAAAAAAAAAAAAAAAAAAAAGAAAGTTTTAGGTAACTGATATAAGAAATGGAATCAGTACCATGGTGATACTAAAATTCAACTACCTTATGTGAAACTGTAGACTCACAATCAGAAAAAACTAATGTAAAACTCTCTGCTCACTTGGATTGTTTGGATTTTAAGTGGTGCAATGTCTCAGGTCATATGAGAATGTGATTAGTTAAACTGATAAAGAATTCATTATATTCAATTAGAAAGGAAGTCTCTGCAGTCATAATATCAAAATTTTCAATGACTTGTTTTTACTCAAGAAAAATGTCATGAAAACATATTTGTGAACATCATCCTAATTAATGCCATTTGTTAAAGACACTGAATTACAGACAAGTGATTAAGTTCCTAAGTTAAGAACTTAATCCTTATTCAGTTGAAATGTTTACTGAAGTTCATAACAATCTGTATTTATGTATACATTTAAAGTGAACAAATAAGGACAAACACATTAGAACATGTGCCACATTTAAAGTGAACAAATAAGGGCAAACAAATTAGAACATGTGCCACATTTAAAGTGAACAAATAAGGGCAAACACATTAGAACATGTGCCACATGTAAAGTGAACAAATAAGGGCAAACACATTAGAACATGTGCCACATTTAAAGTGAACAAATAAGGGCAAACAAATTAGAACATGTGCCACATTTAAAGTGAACAAATAAGGGCAAACAAATTAGAAAATGTGCCACATGTAAAGTGAACAAATAAGGGCAAACACATTAGAACTTGTGCCACATTTAAAGTGAACAAATAAGGGCAAACACATTAGAACATGTGCCACATTTAAAGTGAACAAATAAGGGCAAACACATTAGAACATGTGCCACATTTAAAGTGAGCAAATAAGGGCAAACACATTAGAACTTGTGCCACATTTAAAGTGAACAAATAAGGGCAAACACATTAGAACATGTGCCACATTTAAAGTGAACAAATAAGGGCAAACACATTAGAACATGTGCCACATTTAAAGTGAGCAAATAAGGGCAAACACATTAGAACATGTGCCACATTTAAAGTGAACAAATAAGGACAAACAAATTAGAACATGTGCCACATTTAAAGTGAACAAATAAGGACAAACACATTAGAACATGTGCCACATGTAAAGTGAACAAATAAGGACAAACACATTAGAACATGTGCCAACTACTTTTGATTTATCTTTATTCTTTTCATAAATCATTATGTATAGTTTTATGAAATTTGAATGATTTTATCAACAAAGAAAGTGTGCTTACCTGCATAAAAGAATCCTGCCTGGGCCATTTGTAGGGGGGTCTGGTCCAAATGGTTAGGGAAGCCATTGAAGGTACTTGACCTAATTGTCAGGACTGCATAGTTAGGATAACGAGGCTTGGCTGTGTTGACACCCAGACTTGCAGGGTTGTTTGCAGCTCCACCTCCTCTACCTGGTGTTGGTTGCTGTCCATGTCTCTGTTGTTGTTGATAGTGACGTTGAGCAAATGTAGTAGGTTGTTGTTGGTTTGTTGGTCGCTGCTGGTTAGCCGTATCATCATTCTGAGCCTGAGTTGCTGTAGGATTGAGAGTCGAGGTGTGAGGAGTAGCTGAAGCCTGTTGGTTAGCTGAGCCAGATCCTGACTGAGTCACAGCTGGTGTTGGAGGAGTAGCTGAAGCCTGTTGGTTAGCTGAGCCAGATCCTGACTGATTCACAGCTGGTGGTGGAGGAGAAGCTGAGGCCTGCTGGTTAGCTGAGCCAGATCCTGACGGAGTCACAGCTGGTGTTGTAGGAGAAGCTGAGGTCTGCTGGTTAGCCGAGCCAGATCCTAACTGAGAGAAAGCTGGTGTTGGAGAAGCCGAGGCCTGCTGTTTAGCTGAGCCAGATCCTGACTGAGAGACAGCTGGTGTTGGAGAAGCTGAGGCCTGCTGGTTAGCTGAGCCAGATCCTAACTGAGAGACAGCTGGTGTTGGAGAAGAAGACGCCTGCTGGCCAGCTGGTGCCTGGTTAGGTGTAGACACTGTTTGTGGAGACCTTGATATAGCTTCATTTACGGAGGGGTTGGTGATTGATGGATTTGATGTCAGGGGATTAGATACACCCTCCACACCTAAGCTATTTCTCCTTTCAGCATGGTTCTGAACACTACCAACTTCTGATCCATTCCTTGTTTCAAAGCGAAGATTAGGTAGTGTTGAGGATGCTGGGTGTCCAGGATCTCGTTCACGTCCAAGAAGGAGTGATGTAATGCTATTTGGTGTTTCGAGGAGTGATCTTAGTTCTGATTCTTCTGCAGTCTGTGACGCTTCTGCAAAGGATAATAAGTATAGAAAGTCTTATCTTAACTGTGGTCATCTAAAATGCCCATAGGGCCTATATCATTGACTTATTTTAATAATTTCATATGAACTAAACTAAAATTAATATCTATTTCCCCTATAATAAGCCACACGTTTTCCCACTGGGGGATTAGATGCACTTTTCATAGAGAAAGTATTCCCTTCGCCAAAGGATACTTCAGACCAGATTGAGACAGAATCCTAACATAAAAAGACAGTTTTTGACCAATGCCCCCAATTGTGCAATGCCCCTCTTGCCCCTGGGTGTCAAGACCCACAATTTATACAAAATCTATTTTCTTTACCAAAAGATGCTTCAGACCTAATTTGGACAGAGTGCTGACATTCCTACAGAAGAAGGATTTTACAGAATTTGTACTATTTATCCTAATGTGTCCCATCCCTTCTGCCCAATGGGACTAGGGGACCAACTTTTTATACAAAACTGATTCTCTTCATCCAAGGATGCTTCAGATGGAATTGGGATGGAAGGAAGGCATTCCTACAGATTTGTTCAGATAAAACTGATTCCCTTCACACAAGGATGATACAGACTAAACCGAGACAGAACCCTGACATTTCTACGGAAAAATGAAAATTTTGAAGAATTTTCTCTATTTCCTGTACAACCTAATTGCCAGATGTGACTATCATATATGATCAGAACTGCACAGAGGAATAACAAAGAATTATATAAATAGAAATTCATCCAATATTCAACTACTGTGAACTTCCACATAGTGACAATTATCCTACATTAAATAAATTCTCCACACAAAGACTTATATCCCAATGTAATGATTTTGTAACAAAATGTTGGAAATGCAGATGTCTATTAAACAGAAATCCTAATATCATCATAAACATGAGTTTCCAATACAAAATCTTTGAAACAAGTCTTGGAATTTTTCATTTTACAAAACTTCTGGTGAGGTAAAATAGAAACATTTGTGACAAGTTTTGTGAACCCCATGAAATGGAAGCAAATGTCAGATTTAGTTTATCATATAACTTAGAACTTTTACAAATATTCATGAGCATTTCATTAAACCAACACAAAATCACAATTGGGAAAGATGAATATGGACAAAGGTAAACTGTGATGAAACATTTTCCTGTACATAGTATGTTTTTCTGAATAATAAGAGTTTCTATATCCTAACCTGCACCTCCACCTCTTTGGCTCAGGGAGGAATAGGGACCTTGTATAGGCACGTTTCCAACGTCTTTTCCTCTCATAAAGCTGCCAAATAAAAAGATAATTCTTTTAGATATATATATATCAGAAATTTGACATCAAAATTGTAATACTACCTGCAATCATAATACCAAATTCTATAAGATTATAAAAAGGGTCTTATCCTAGGACTAATTGTTGAATTTATTAGTGGCATACATCTTAAATCAAACATGTGTAATCATGTGTTTAGATTTCAAGAAGAAAGGTGACACATCAAGAAATGATGCCAAGTCAGTATGATAGTGGAATATCACTTTCAATAAGTGATGCTGAACTTTGAACATGTTCTTTTTAATCTGTCCAATAGAGTGGAACTAGAAATATTGTTTAATAATGTGACTTATCAAGCAAAGACAAATGCACAGACACTTCATTCTGCCATTAAACATGTGTCCTAATATCCTTAGATGTAGGTAATGGCTTACGGACTGATCTGATGAAAATATTTCATGGCTCCTACCTTACACAACATGTGTTATAATAACAATGTTTAAGTATTTTCCTAGAATTGAGACTAATCATATGGTGACCATCTTAGATTGATACAAGGCGGACATTCATCAATAATGTCTCAGAACTGATACAAAGACTCAATTGCACATCTTATAGCAGTGAACTGTCACACCAAATACCTTAATTATCTCCAATTTATCAAACTTGAAATGATTTGGAGGCTTTAACTTGTCATACAACAATTTTCATGAAATTCTTCTTCCTCTAAAAGATATTGCAAGAAAACATGCAATCAGCCAATAAGATCACAGCAGCATCATTAGAACTTGAATTTGCCATACATAAATAACTGAGAAAGCCTTATTAAAGGGATATTCTGCACAACTTAGGATTTTATGGGATGCTTTCAAATTCCCAGGGTAACCATTTAAACAAACATATGATATTCAATTTGCATCTATTCCTCATAGATCTAGCTACATTGATTTACAAACGTTTGCCTGGCTCTGATTGTGTCGTAACAGGTTTGTGAAAGAATTAAATATTTGTGTAAGTTATAAAAACAAGAGATAATAAGCCTAATGAAGTAATAAAATCGTAATCCCAGCAGAAAGTTTTAGTGATACACTTATTTACCCAATACTCTGCATAAAACCGTTCAGTTCCTGATTTCCCGATGCACTATATTTACCTGGTAGATGGTTTGGCTGGGAGTATTCCCACCAATTTTGTGTATCCAAACTGATCATAGGAGAGATATTTTGATGCTAACAATAGCTTAAAATGTCATTAGAGTGAGATCTTAAGGTACAGAACAGCCAGGAATTCTGCAACCTGGAGGGAATATCCCTTTAAAGTCAGATTGTAGCATCACATTATAGAGCCTGGGTATGGAACTTTCTGAACATAGGACCTTTTGATGAGGTGACTTATAATTACTTAGTAAGTATATTAAGTAAAGTTGAACTAAAATCTGGTTATTGTGGGGAAAAAATCAACAAATCAAATTGCAGGAGCCCCATTAAATGATCTTTGGATGTGACCAGAGTGCTTTAGTTAATTTCATTATAAAAATATCAATGGTGTGAAAATTGAACATATTTATAATCCTTAAGGGGAAAATATTGGTATTATGTACTGTGATCAATCCTCAAACTGACCATATATATCTAAGTCCAGGAAAATGGATATCTTTATTCATAAATTTTTTAATGATAATCTATATCTAGACTTTTGTAAACATTTTGCCAAACAGCAAAAAACAGAGAAGTGGACAGACGGTTGAAGAAGGACAACCTGGCTTCGGTCACATAAAAGTTAAATATGATAAACCAATGGTTAGTGTAAAATCAAACTGTTGCCACAGAAAATACTAGAGGGTTTATAGCGAAGTCAAAATACATTAATCTGACTCGTCTCAACAAGCTGTGAAATGATTAAAGATGTTCTTATCATATTTGAACATTTTTGTTAAACACTGGTTATCACAAATAAGTATTTGAACAACATAGGCCTGATTACTAAAGGGAACCCAAAACTCCACGTGGAACCCTAATAAGAGTGAAAATTGGAAAGCGTACAAACTCAAATCACAAAATAAGATCCATCAAACACGATTGAAAGATCTTTTAATTACAATAATGAACTATTTATGTTTTTTTTTCATACAAAATTCAGCACAAAAGACATATAACAGCATACTAATAATAAGGCCTAAATTGTCACCCAAGTAAGCACATTTACTTCACATGTACATGACATGGTAATAAACATGTCAACAAATGATGGTTACTAGTACTACATTGTCATGTAATACGTACACATATTTAACCCTTGTTCTTCAATTGAATCATAAAACTGCTGTACATCTTTTTTGAAAACAAAACAATACAACTGCTCAATCAAATATCAGATAAACTAATCTGGGACTGAGAAGATTATTGTAAAAGATTTGTTAATCTAAACTTCACCCATTTCAGACCAGTCTTTGTGAGTAAAATAGAAAATTTAACTGCCATCCCTTAATCATGATACAAATTAAAGTTAAAATTATTTCCAGCAGGAAGTATAATCAGTAGCAGGTAAAAACATCATTTTCCTACATAGCAATTGCAAAGGGAATCAGAGATTAAAAGTTAATATCTATTGTTTATAAATATGAAGCAGATTTTTGACATATGACAATGAATAAAGGTTGATGTAAATAGACTATAACCATATGATACAAAGAAGATAAGGGACAAGATGCAATTGTAGTATGTTATTTTGTCTCAAATAACCAAATAAAACTTACCTGCATCGTCTTGAAATCTGATAGTGAGTAGCATAGACAGACTGTCCTTTCTGCCAGTTTCCGTGAGTCACTCCACAGGAAAAGCAGCACACCTTGTCCTCGTTTCCTGTATAGTAAAAGCCATACTTGGCCAATAAAGTTGGAGAAATTGGACAGCTCATTGGAAAGGACCAGAATGACTTAAATCTAGCCCATTCAAACTTCATACTTTCTGTTACAGTTCCAGTGCTGATCTGCTCAAATACACACATGTCTTCCTTGAAAGTGCTATTATCTATGTTGGGAAGTCTTTCTGCAGAGGCCCCTAGTGCATGTTCAGTACTATTTGTACCATTTACTTCTGCACCTGACTGACTGTTTGGAAGATGATTGAATGGTAGCATGAATACATCTAATTGTGATCTTATATCAGGTATTCGATGCAAGAAATTCACTTTTTCTTTATTACTTTCACCGATTTTATGATTTTGTCGGAAAACGAAATTCTCTATACTGTTCATCTTCCTGGCAGGTCTCCTGGATTTCAAATGTTTACCAGCATGCAATTGAAAAGCTGACTTAATTGCATGACTTTTGTAGTGAAACCTCAACATGCTTTTTTTCCCTTTCTTTTGGGATGATAAAGGTTCATTAGAAGAAGTAATCCTGGGATGGTGTCTGTTTAGACTTCCAAGGCTTCTGGCTAGATGTGTTTGGTGCCGGTTTAGACTTCCATGGCTTTTGGCTCGATACGTTTGGTGCCTGTCTAGAATTCTAGAGTCCATTGTAGGATTAATCTTGTGTATTGTGTGTATGCTTTTGGAACTTTTTGTTAAGCTTTGCTGGTCAACAGGTGTGATAAAAACTTGCAGGGGGCTCAATACATCAGATGAATTCTGATCCCCTTCGGCAATTCCTTCATTTTTTACCAGTTGGCATTTTTCAAGCACTTTAATTTCTGGTTTCCTATCAGTCTTCCTTTTCTGTTGTTCAGCATTTTCTTCTACTGATTGTTTATCTGATTGAAGTTGTAATGTCTTAAACATCTGTTTGTGGTTTCCTTTATATATTTCATGTTGCTTCTTCAGCTCCAACAAACAGGAAATCCAACCAAAAAGGAAAGCGGTACACATTACCATCTGCACGTCAGCAGGATCTATTTGTTTTGACTGATAACCGCCATATCTTTTTCTCAAAGGTGTTGACTGCAGCTGTCCTGCTGCTTGGGTATAGTCAGCAGTAACAGGATATACACTATAGGTGCAATGGGAACTTGTTGCTAAAACTTGATCTATTGAGGGTCTATTATTATCCATTAAGTATAGCAGCTTTGTGTCAATTAACAGCTTTAATTCACTTTTTTTCTTCTGAAATGAAAAATCCTCAGAATTTCCATTCATAGGTAGTCTATCATGAGGAAACTTTTCTACCATGGTCTTTTCTGGATGGCATTCCATCAGCTTATCTTCAGAGTAACTGTTGTTTATAATATTGGCCGCCTGGTTTAGTGATTCCAGCGTGTCACCTGGATCACATCTATCTAATGCTTCATCTTGTTCAGTACTCATTACATGGTCAAAAGGTTGTGTATGGGAAGGTTTTAAGAAAACAGGTTTCTTGTCAATCTCAACAGTTTCATCTTTGTTACCATTTTTAATTGAATTGAGTGTATCCTTTCTCTCTTTTCTTGTCCTGGTGTAAGGCATCATTGCAGTAGAGTTCTCTGCATCTTCTGTACACTGAATAGCTTTTGAATCTCGTACACATGGCTTACTTTTTGGCACAATGCTTGCAGATTGCTTACAAGTGACAACTTCCTTTACCATGGTTTCACCACTCTTATCATCTTGATGATTACTATCAGTTTCAAAAAAACATCCATCAGATTCAACACTTTTGGAAACATCAACATGAATTTTAGTATCATCAATTGAATCCTCTAACAAGGATAATGAATGACCCAGTAGATGGATGTCTCTAAAGCTGTCACTTTGAGACAAAGGCCTGGTGATTGATGATTCTGAAAGTGAATAATTTCCAAAAGCATTCTGAGAAGCAATGTCTGTATTATCTGTATGTACATTCAGTATGTCATTGCAACTCTCGTCATCAATCGCTGCAGGTGTAACGCTAAAGCAGTAGTTCTCTTTCATCTCATGTGGATCAACTTTGACCTCAGAATCAGTCTCCATCGAAAGTTTCTTGGATTTCTTTTCTGATTTTCTAACTTTCAGACATTTCATAAAGGGCTTATGGAAATTCTTCAAATGCTTTTCATTTTGGATTTTCTTTTCATTGTTTGGTGATGACGTTTCCTTCTGATTCTTTGATTTCTTTCTTTGAAACAAATTAAGAAACTTCCGAAATCCAGTATTTTTTTTCCATCCACCCATTTCAAAATTATTCTCTTTTGTAGACGTAGATATAAGCCTCAGCATTGCTTTCCTTAATTTATGACCACCTACAACACTAGAATCAGTACCAGGTAACTCTTCTATGCAGCAATCCTCTGCTGTCTGTATGAGGGATGGTGTCTCGTACTCCACTGCATACCTGTCCTATAAATCATACAAAATTTAAAAAATAACAGACTTACAACTGTAAAGCATCATACAAAAGGCGGATATATAATTACGGTGGGAAGAGCACCATACAAATCTGGCCTAGACAATAAAATTTGTTTAATGGGAATGCACCATTGGTACGTTTACTTCTTAGTTTGAGTTCACAGTCATCACATAAATTTGGTAAAAATGATACAAGATAACTTTGACCTTAGACTATAACCTGATGACCCTTTGACAATTGCAATTATGCATTTTGACTTCATATATCAGAGTTGTCGAAACTATTTATGTATCATTAATGTAACTATCTCGGGAATAACTATATAATACTCCCAGTCCAGCGTCAACATTTATGTATGACCTTGAAGTTCTATAGAGATGTGCATGTACTATTAATGTGTCATGCCCTATTTCTTTACCATTTATCATTAAAGTTGTGGACTATTACACAAATGCATCTGTATGTAGTGACCTGGTTACCAAGGAAACCAAAACCTTACTGAATTAAGATAATTGCATTGTTAGCAGAATTTTCCATGTGACATAACAAAAGTGTGAATTATTTGTGGCCAGCTTTTATCTTACATTTTCCCTCTAGGTATTGGATAACACTGTTATTAACAGTGAATACCAGTAGTTGAGACCTAGCACTATTTTGACACAAATATCATCTGGGAATTTTTCTTAAGAGAATAAAAATGGACCTAGAATCGATATAAAGCATAAGTTAATTAAAACATGTATACTTATTCTTTATTCTGTAGTTAATCTATAGTATCATATCAGTGTATTCAATAGAAACCAGCAGCCGGCGAATCTGACCATCTATTTTGATGTCGGCGCCGGCAATTTTAATTTCAGAGATAATGAAAAAATTCTCCTACCTGATTTAAAATGTTTTCATTGTTTATGCGCATCATTAACCTTCGAGAACGCAAGTTTATTCAAATCGAATGTGTGAGCGTCTGCTTCATCCTGATGCACATGTCCGAAATTGTTCTTTGTTAAAGATAAGTTTTTCTTACAAAAAATGAGCACGGTAGGCCTGGCTATAGCAAACGCTTGCCTGACGGAGAACACGGAATATAAACAGGAAGCGGTCTATTGAAGACTATTTTGGCTAAGGGTTGAAGCGGCCAAAAAGTATGCCTATACTGATGTTAAAAATAATTGCATTTTACATATTTTTTATATTTCCCTAGCATTTAATAAAGCAGACTAGTATGTCAATATCACATTTAATTGTTCGTTCTCCGATGAACATCACGTCATCGTCTTTCACCCTGAATGAAAAACGTATCAAATGATGCCCATAAATGTTCTTGAGAGCTGTACTTGTGGCATTGACTGACAATTATTAAAATATAGCATTTTACATGTAGCCCGTTTAAATTGTATCTTTACCGGACGGCATAGTCTAATACAAAAAAAACGGTCAACAGCAATTATTTCCGAATTTTTTTCAAATAAGCTCATCAGATATTAAAGTAATTGGTGATTCCTATGGTTTAATAGAAAGACATAGAATTTTCCATTTAGGTTAATTTATGTACGCTAAAGTGCCTTTTCTTTTTTCTGTCCACAGATTAACCTATTTTATAACTGGTTACACACAAAAATATGACTAATATTAAAAAAGACAGACACAATTTTTATCAAGAAATTGTCTTAAAATGTATCTCAGAGCTTCCTCATTTTCAAAATTTTCCCGCAGGCCCCCCGGAACCCCCAACAAGAGGGGGAGGACCCCTTCTTGTACTTTCCCTCTGCAGGCCTTTAGCCCGTCTGCAGCTCACACAAGGGCCTGTAGCCCTTGACCACCTACTTAATGTTATCATCCATGTACTCTAAAAAGTCTTGAACACACTGAGTATCATACTTATTGTAATAAATAAATGATTTAAGATAACATTTTCGATTAAAGGAAAAGAATTTTGAAATTGCATTGATTTTCAACACAAGGACATACTTTGCTGTGGTTTACCACAACTATTTCTTCAACTTCATGAAGGAATACTGGTACAGCCATAATCTATATCCTTTGTCTCAAGATATAGTTGACAGAAGTTCAAGAGTTGAAGTGAGATACCTGAAACAAACAATACCAATACATATTCATTAGTGTCGCAACAAGCACCAGTAGATACCATTTTAGGGCTTTTCACCATTTAAAGTCCAAATGTCATGTTTCTTATTACCATTATAAGCTTACCAGTAACAAGTATTTATATGTTAATGTATTGGATGAAATTTGCATTTTAATTCAATAAAAACTGTTAGCTTGATTCATCACAGCAACATTAGGATACAGATACAAAATATCTTACATGCATACTGCTAAACACAAATTCCAATGAATATCTCGTGGAAACTACATCCAAATATTCATGGATTAGTTTCGTTTTTGTGTTGTAGTAATTAGTTGTGTTTGGTTTTAAAGTCTGTATCTTTTATCATACCATTAATTGGTTTACATTGTTGACAATATCAATGGCACTGATAAATATACTTATATGACATTTGGTTGAAATCCCACTTGTTTCTCCTTTGGGGCCCTTGATATATATATATGTAATGCCTGGGGTTGTACTTTCTGACCACACTAATTATCTCAACAAACTAAAGATTTGATGTATATTAGATCCAGAGTCAGAAACTGGATTCCTGTTCATGAATATTCATGATGTTGAATCCTTGTCTCCTAATTAGAATATGTCAGTTTGATGTGGAGGTCAAGGTAAAATCATGAAAAAATCCAGGTAGACATGTAATCTTGTCATAAACTGTCATTGTCAAAATCCATTTTTTTTCCTAATAGTCTTGATGTTAAAAGGGTACTATAAGATCTACAAATGACATTTGATACGGAACCATTTTGTACTTTTTTATCAGACCAGCCAGTCCAAATATGAAAAGGGAACATCTAAGGACTAAGGGAAACTTACACATGAAATCTTATTATGATTCATCCAGCATTTCTAAACATTCATCAATAACAAAGTTTCACTAATGAAATCCAATATGGCCACTGGTCAACCATTTCATTTTTCTTATCAGGTCAAACATTGAATGGGCACTACTGGAAAGCAATGGGAGCATCCATATGGAAGTTTGGAAAGTTCCATCTTATACTCCTAAAGAAATACATATAGCCATAACAAGCCTTACTTAAGGACCAATGATGGACAGGATACGGGCGCAGAGCAACTTGGAAAGCTGCCATCTGATGACGGCAGGCTCAAAATGCTTTCGAAATATTTGCAAGACATGAATGCCCACTTTCACATACAGATATGTACTAGTGTCACTATTTGACAAACTGTATAGTCAAGGTGTCAGAAGTCCTAGGAACACACTCATTTCAAGTATTATTCTCATTATATTGTTTGACCTTTGCATAGGTTTGAAAAAAATGGCCCTTTTAGACATGAAGTCACTAAGTACACACCCAAAGAAATGGTTCATGAGAATTTCATTTATCTAAGGTAACTGCATAGTAAAACTTGATGTTCGAACAAAGCTGAAATAGGATCTCCTTCAAAGCATTATCTAACAGAGGTCATTATATGGTTCAATGGTTCTGCTTGGCATTGAACGGAGACCTCTGGCTTAATGCTAGTCTTTTGCTCAACCAACGGATCTAAAGATAGTTCTTTCTAGCTGAGCGAGTATTAATCAGGGTTACTTCTGTTTCGTAATGAGCTACGTTGGTTGTATGTGATAAGGTAGCTCAATTTGTAGTGTGTTCATCTAGTGTTCTGAGGGTCAAGCGTTTGAACTCTCGACTGGCTATGCATTTTTCTGTTCTTATCACATTCAGAGCTGTAGACCACTCAAAGTGCAAGCTACAGGTAGCTTACAGGCTCCATTGCAGAACCTTGCTTGGCTGAAGTGGTGTTCAGAGGTGAACACAATGTGACGATTCAAGGATATGGGCATTTCAGCTGCATTGTAAGGCTATGCTATTGAGTGACATATCAAAGTTACACAATGTAGAGGATGGTCAACACTTGGATGGATAAACCCTTGTACAGATTAGAAGTAGGGATTAGTGTTAAATTTCCCTTTAGCTTGATCATGAGACAAGGACCAGCAAACAGTAGCAATAGCTGTTTGCTATTCACTTCTGAGTTCAAAAATTGACTGTAAGTCTATAAGTTTTACATTTCAATGCCATGGGAGGAATGGATGACAGGCTGATAATGTCCATATGTAGGCCACGATGTCAAGACTGGTTTATTAGGCTTGCTCACTTGTGTGACAGGTTAACAGCAGTCAAAACGGCATGAAATACTATTGGTAATGGAAACAGTTGAAACCACCCAAAAACTGTGTGAAATAGACTGCAAGAGGCAATTTAAGCGTAAGTTGCCAGTGTGTTGGTTTGCCACAGACACCTCAATATTGAGCATGGTGTATGAGGTGGTTGATGGCACATTTGCTGAGACCTTTCCCTATGAGATGTTGGAAATAAATGGCTGTATGCTATCAAGATGTGACCCTATGGCCTCAGGTTGTACCTTACATTATAAGGTACCATCCGACCTTTCAGCATGATAATGCTAGACCATACATTCCTGGAGTTTGTAGGGACTTTCTTGCAACCCAGAACATCATCCCTATTGATTGGCCTGCATATTTAGCCTCCATATAGCCCCAAATTGACCCCAATTGCACACTTGCGGAATGAATTTGACAGACGAGTTTGTAACCAAGAAAATATCACAAATAACCTAACCTCTGCCAATTGGCCAAGGCACTTTCCCAGAAATGGAAACTATTCCTCTGACAGTCAACCTCCTTATGAACTCCATGCAAAATAAGAGATGCTATAACTGGTCACTTAAGGAACACAAGATATTAGGGATCAGTCTGACAAAAGCTGTTATTTCAACTTTGTGTACAGTACTTGTGTACCATACCCTAAATCATGGTTTAGTTAAAATCTTTGAAAATTTGAAGACAAATGGTCTTCGAAGTTAACTATTGTATTTCACACTGAGGTGTATTGCTCAAAATTGTTATTTTATTGAACAGTTCGGTTGAATTTGCATTTCCTTTTCCTCGAAGTATATTACGTCTCTGATTTCATCAAAGCTGAAAATATTTTCCTTTAAATTCTTTTCAAAAGCTGGATGTTTGACTTTGTTGGCTGTAGAGCAGTTATAATAACAAGTGAACTGTACCTCATCGCATGCCTATTACGCTAGATGTGATATTTCACTACTCTTTCTACGTAGCAAAATTCCGTGATTTTATCAATATAGCCACCATTCAAACTAATAACGGTCTAAGTCACAATCAAGTCGGTCTACAACACAAGCCGAATCCTTCTTGAGTCAAAAAGCTATCGAACCCCGAGAAATAAATTTCCAAATTCAATCGAATAAACACATTTCCTTGAGTGCATTAAACAATAACATACGTTACCTATAACAGTCATGGCGGATGGCGGATATGTTGTGATCATGAGAACTGAAAATTACCGTCCCTGAGGAAAGTAAGGATGTTTCACGAGATGTTCCGAATGAGCAAACGCTTTCTCACAGAGGCAGACAGCAATAAAACATGCTTGATATGTGATATATACGTCTCTGCTTAAAGAAAGCACTTTTTCTATGTTTTATTCTGTGTTGACACATTATCTGTTACCGACGAAGAATGTCACCTATAACGGAAAGATGTTGCTGGTCACCCTGTTGACCAAGTCTCCAGGGGAATATATCAACTGTCTGGGGAGCGACGAGTTTGGCAGAACCAATGAATCAGCGAGGCCATCGCTATGTTTTTGCGCAATGGCCAGCTCCTAATGAAAAGGGAGATGGTAATGTCATCCCGTCTTGTGTCACTATTTGTAATTCGCACGAAAAAAGACAAAGTGTAGTTAAGGAGGCGTTGTTGGGTATGCATGAGGCTGGTTAATTCATGATAATTGGCTGCTGGACTGTAGGGAATCGCTACGTGTACGCAGAGACGTATACAACACATGTGTTATATACGTCTCTGGTGTACGTAATGTATGTTATTGTTTATCCACTTTAAGCCTTGCAACTTATTAGTGTAAGTTAAATACGTAAGAATACAATGTACATATACAATATAAGGCTATTATAACACATACGAAATATTCAAATATTATATGGAATTAACTTACACTGTACACGACGAGAAGCCGAAAAAAGACTGATTGGCGGTTATGCCACTTACATTCTATAATTTCAATTAACTTTTGTAACAGGTATAAAGATTTTTGTTCAAACGTTTTCGCCAAGTCAGCTTTTCGTAAACACATTCTTATTATTGTACATTCATTGAATTTAGATTTTAATTGCTCATTGTTTGTGGTCCATCACCTGTCTTTCTGTCTTTTATTAAGTATTAATACATATACTGTCCAGTTGCTTAGAACCAAATGAAACCCATGTTAATCCAAAATTTGAAAAATATCAAAAAAATATTTTTCAATACAAGGTGTTGGAGGTTTTGCGAGTACGTATGTGGGCTGTACTATAGATAGCATGTAAGGGTGTAGTAAAATTGTACGATATTGTATTCCAAATCATACATTTAACATTGTTATTGTTTGTAACATAATTTTCGCTACTTAAGTATTGTACAGCAGGTAGGTGTAATTTATGGAGAACATAGACGGAGTTACATGATATTTTAAATGAGCGTCTGTTTAAAATCAGAAATAGATAAATCTCAAAAATATTAGTCAGAGATATTTTTTGTTAATTGATCGGAAAACTGATACCAGGAAAATATGTACGTATTGTTATTTTACTTATTAAATACAAAAATGAGGATGGGGTGCGGATTATGAAATGTCTGAAATTGTGACTGATATTCAAGTACGAGTTTGTCTCATAACTCTGAAAATGTGTGGTGCAATAAGTTATGTTCCAATATTCATAATAAAATCGCAATTATAATATCAAAGTGGTTTGTGAAGTCATTTCATGTTTCCAGGTTTCATTAATCGTTGTGATGTCTTGTATTATTGATTTAAGTAAAGTTTTCAGTGCAG